CTTGTATTCATATTTAAATTTCAAAATCAGTTAAGCATTTAACTGTAACATTTTAAAATTGTTTTGAATGTTGAGATCATTGGCCACCCCTGCACTCAGCAAACCATTGTTATTTTTTTATTTGACAACATCCTTTAATTTTCCATAGATGATAAATTTTAAAATTTTGAATTTAAAAAAATTTTGCAAAATTATTATCATTTTCAATTATTTTAAAATTCAAAAATAGTACACAAATTATATTCAAAGGGTAAGTGGTTTATAGCTTACCTTCGTTTATTAAATTTAATAAACATCCAAAGAGTGATTCAATTAAAAATTACAAGAATTATTACAAATGGCACCAAATGAGAGTTCTATAAAACTCTGACAACATCAATGTAAAAATTTATTTGATAAACAATTCAAGACATTCTCCTGCCGTGGTAAGTGCAAGTATTTAGAACAGTTAAGTGAATAACTTAACTTAAGGCCAACCGGTATAAAGTTGTGACAAACATACTTGTAAATAGACACAAGGTTGATTACAATATGAGGGCACTTTTAGCAAATATACTCTAATTGCAACCTTCATATAGTAAAAAAATCCATGTTTAATCACATTTTTTTCTACAAGATTATTTAAAATTGTTAGAAATAATACAATTACCACAGCAGATAAAAACAAACAACATATAACATCACAAATAGTAAATATATCAGCTGATCTGCTACAACTAAACAAAAAAATGCTGTGAAATTTTGAAAATTAACATAAAAACACGAGAGGGTCCAAACCGTCAAGAATGCAGTAGAAGACCAGCCATTTGAAACATTCAAATAGTCATGTAACTTGAGGACTTAAAACTTTTAAAGGAAATTTGGAAAAAAATTAGCATTAAACATTTAGCATCTCTTTGGTCTCAAAGAAGACACCGCATACTAAATTAACTAGCTAAAGTCTCTTTATAATAACAAAATAAAGTTAATAAGCTTTTGTTTACCTTTTCCATAGATTCTTTGTTTTTGAATTCGACTATAGCCGATAATGTCGGAGTTGTGGTCAGTTCAGTAACAATGATTGGACCACGTCTAGAAACAAACAAAATTTCCCTCGTTAATACTCCGTTCGGACGGCGCTCCAAGTCTATTCGCACTATGGAACACCAGCAAACATTTATAACTAGCTTACAATTAAAATATTCGTTCTTTAACAAATTATTAAATCAACAAGAAAAACTGGGACTGATATTTGAATGTTAACAAATATGATTTCCTTGTACAAATACATAAAGAACTAAGCAAAGACTTACTTTACACTGATAACTTCTCCATGTTTTGAGAAGAACTCTTTAAGTTTTTCTTGATAGTCAAAAAGAAAGCTTGATGGCAGGTTCTCGACCAGCAGTTTACCAGATTCCACCTTTTCTTCCTTCGGTTCTTCGTTCTTGCTCTCGTCCTCCGCGTTCTCCTGGCTCTGATCATTTTCTTGTGTTTCTTCAGTCATGGGGCCCTCTTCACCGTGTTCTGCAGATTCTGTTTGCCCGTTATTCTCTTCAGTCCCTTCCATCGCTTCTAACTCGGGCTGAGCGACCTCTTCCGCTTGGTGTGCCGCCTTAGCTCTTGCCGCTTGAGCTTTGGCGCCACGACCTCTCTTCTGTGCAACCATATTTACGTTTTACTGCAAAAACATAAAATAACAGGAAAGTTACAACAGACGCTACGATATCGACGCATTTCCCGCCATGCGCTATAGCTACAGTTATACGCCTATATAACGTGTCGTATCGCAATCGGACATCGATTTGGCGCCGATATTATCTAAAGACAAACACTTAAATTGGCGCGTAAAATCTGAATTACATCAATTCATACCATAATCTGAATTTATTTTGGCGATACATGGTACCCAAATAACGGTACCTTCATTTACAAGAAATTAACGCGCCATGAAGCATGGCGTTTGGAGTGGAAAATTCACAAAATCGTACACCACAAAGGTCACTATAGACAACTCCTTAAACACTGTAAGCAACATCACTTTTACATATGAATATTTCACTCACCAGCAAAATTACTAGATGCTGAAAACAACCAAAGCAATAACTTTCAATAAAAGACGCCAATTCAGAAGTAATAATAACATACAGCCGGCATCACGCAAGCGCTACCGCCATTAATTAACATAGTAATGTGGTGTTGCAAGCTAAATTCGATAATATGCTTGACACTGTTTAAGTACTCTTTACTAATCTTTAGCGATATAAAATAAATCTAATGTAATTACTTAAGTTAAAAATAAGGAATTCGTTCTTAACGAGATAAATTAATCATTTTGCTTTTTCACAATTTATAAACCAATAGACATGTAGACAAATGTTACAAATAACAGGCAACAATGTCACGTTTGAGATTTATAACTACTCTTTATTGTCAATGGTTGTCAAATAAATTATCAATGTCAAACATTATCACATGTGGTTTTGCGTTTGAAACACATTGTCTAAAGTTTTTATTTTAGATATTTCTAGTTAAAGTCGTATGTTCTTTTGGGCATTTAGCTAAATTTAAATGAATTATTTTGTATTGAATATCGTAACCTGCAAATAAATTTAATGACCATGAATTTTGCACATTTATATAAAAGTGCCGCCGAAACAACTGTTAAATTAATTACTACAAATGACAAAAATGGTAAATCGAAAAGGAAAAAATTGAAATCAAATTTAGTAACACCGGACACAGCAGAAGAAATAGATGTAAACAATGCAGACGAAAATCAACCTTTGAATAATGTATCAAATAAAAAGGCTAAAAAAAAGGATAAAGCCAAATCAGCACACGTCAATAATCCGGAGGTTGTCACGAATACAGAAAATGGTGAAATAAAACCAAAGAAACGTAACAAATCGGTTAGTTTTATGTTGGAGGACAAGGAAGAGGTTGCTGTTAAAAAGACCAAATCAGATGTCACAGCTACTCATAAACAAAGTACAAATAATGGTGAGAATCCAAGAAAACAAAAGAAGAACAAAAAGACTCAAGGGCAAGTGAATGATGATATTAAATTTAATACAAAAGATATTTCTTCAAATACCCATGAAAAAACGAAGAAATTAAAAAGAAACATATATGAAAAATTAGACAATGAAGACAGTGATCCCATGAAAAGGAAAATAAATAAAAAGGCAAACAAAATTTTTAAGGGTAAAGAATCAGGTGACAGTAATACTGAAAATGTTAATTTAGTAAGCAAAACTCAAGAAACAAATGAAAATAAAAAGAAGAAAAAGCAACATAAAGAAATAGAAACAGATGCTGGTTTAAGCACATCTGATAAAGTACCTTCAGTTGAAACCAAAAAGTCTAAGAAAAAGAAGCAAATAGCAAAAGCACAAAATGAAACAAAAATTGAGGAAGATAATGAAAATAAACCTGAAGTAATTGTGGGAAATCTTGAAAACCTCAGTATTGGAGATAACACACATACATTATCAAACCTTCTTGATGAAATGACCGTAGTTGACAGAAACGAAAAAAAGAAACAAAATAAAAACAAAATTAATAAAAAGAAAGACAAACATCCAGCAGAAACTTTAGAAGAAATTGAGGAAAGCAAGAGAGAGAAATGGCAGAAGAAAAGATGGAATAAAGGGATGAGAGGGAAAGATGACCCTGATAAAGGCTTGCATCCTGTAAATATAGAAAACCTACCAATTAGTATAATTTTGAACTATAAGAAATTGTTAGCTGAACACTTTGCAAAATGCGGAACTGTAAGGAGAATTGGGTATGTTCAAATTCGCACCTTTTAGCACTACTTATTATAAAAATAGCTACTAGGTTCCATAGATACATAATTTATTAGTTTTTAATCTGTTGAATATTTAAAAACATTAAATCAATTATATTCCATGATTAGTAAAAATCATGTTTATAAAGTAACGAATGATGTAACAGTGTTTAATTTTCAGTATAGCACAGATCTACCCCTCTGACAGTTCTAAGCCAGTTTTCCACACAACGGTTTATTTTGATACTTCAGCTGAGGCTACAAAGGTAAGCTAAAGTAAAACATCAGTAAATTATAAATTGAAGATGTTAATTGGTATAGCATGCTATACTAATATTATAAAGAGGAATGATTTGTATTTTTGTATGTATTTGATTCACGCAAAAACTACTGGGCCAAATTCTTAAATTCTTTGACTATTACAAAGGTAATTTATCTGTGAGTAACATAGATTAGGTTTAGTATTTTTTTTTTAATTTTACACGAGCGAAGTCGCAAGCAACAGCTATTATTTTTAAAGCAAAAGGTTATGTTACAATATGCATTCTACTAAATATTAAAGTTATTATCCCTCCATTAATTTATGTAACACTATGATAAACACCTTATTGTAAATATGATTCACATTGTTATTCCTTTACAGGCATTGGAAGAAGATAACTCGTCTTTCGAAGGGTCAACCATCAGGGTATTGCGGCCATTCCCTACAATAGAGACAACTGCGGTGGTGCGCACATATGGCCCACTCAGTGAACAGATCATTAGCACCATATTCAGTAATGTGGGACGTATACGTAGGATCAGACATCTTATAAAGGGAAAAAAATCTATGGGTAAGATACCATAACTTAATTACATTCAAACGGTTTTAAATTCTTAACATTGTTAAAATTTACCCACAAAAGGGTCAAAGCCCTTACCACCACTAAATAAAATTATTTGATCTCTGTTAATGTTCTTGTTATTATCATTATTTTATGTTAAAAATGTAAAATTGCTAAGCTCAGCCCAATTTGTATCTGCACAGTTATATTTGTTTGTTCAGCTTGTATAGTTGTTATTGTGTTGAACAGTGAGCTGCACTTTAGTTGTTGAGCTGCAGCTCAATGAGTTCAAGTCTAGTTGACCTTAGGTTATGAGCCAGTTCTGAGCTGAATTAGACGAAACTTGCCCAAGCTTACATTTAGTGGGAGCTCATATATTCGTGTTATTGTTACAGCGACAGCATTCGTAGAGCTGGACGAGCCGGAGGCGGTGGAACGCGCCATCAAAATGGCGGACGAGGTGAAAGTCAAAGGCAAGAAGGTACATGTCTCCAAGTTTGAGCTGCATCAGAAGCCAAAGAAAGACAAGAAAAAGCTAAAAACAAGAGATAAAGTTAATGACAAGAAACCAGAAGTAAATGATGAAGAAAGTGATGAATCAAATGATTAAATTACATTTTGTATATTTTTTTTTAATTCCAATATCGCAATAGAAAATTGGATGATATTATTTGTCAATCTTCTGTTGAAAACCATGACCTATAGGTCATTTTCAATGGATTATAACTTTATGCATTTGTACAAATTATGTGCCTTTAAATGTGACTTATTAAATTGTTTTTTTAAATATTAAATGCCTTTTCTTTATGATTCACCTAAATCCAATGTTAAAAAATCTCAATTAGTTCGTTTGACTATATCTGTTTTTTTTTTTAATATTTTGAAAGAGAACTGGTTTATCTAGTTTTTATGACTATTTTGGTACCAATAACTTTAACATAATGTAGATTCAGAGAAAAAAAAATTAATTGCACTAAAAAGTGAAAATGAAGCACTTTTCTTATACCAATTTATAGAAGTCACTAAAAAGTAAAAAAAAAAGCAAAAATTATGTTTCCGCCCGGGATCGAACCGGGGGCCTTCTGCGTGTTAGGCAGATGTGATAACCGCTACACCACGGAAACGTTACAGAGATGGTGAAAAAATTCGTTAGGTTTATAAGCACAAAAAAACACCATTTTACCATCAGAAACCTATATAAACGTTATTGAAAAAAATAATATAATTGTATTAATGTGTATATAAAATTAAATAAAAGGCGTTTTTAAATCGAAACAATAATTTATTGTATCCTTAGAATCAGTAGTTATGCGTTAAAACTAATTATATTTTATTATACACAAGTCCTTATCAATACGATAAGCTACGATCATTACGATTAGTTATTTACAGTGACACAGATTATACAGAGGCGCGCCTCCCGGCTCCATTCGCCTTTACATTACACAAGTAATACTTCAATTAGTGGCAATACAATTTATTAAAAACGAGAACGCCATTTTGTTTTTTTTGAAAATGTCAAGTATAAATATAATTATGCAATAAAGGAAATTTTTATCACTTTTAATTTTACCACAAAGGCTTATAATTCATATAATAATTCCGTAAAATGCAGTTGTAGCATTTTCCTAGTTATTCCCACCCTTAAATTTCATTATCACAGCGAATTAAAAAATAGATAAGCTAAAAAAACAATTATTTTAAGTGTAATAACTAAAACAGAATTGAAAAGTTTTTTTTTTTTATTTTAATCATCACTTAATTACAATAAATAATTTTTAAAGCAAAGAATTCAAATTTCGACATTAAGATGGTTTAAAAAAAAATTAAAGAATCCAAAATATAATTATATAACAATTAAAAATAGGAATAAGTAATGTTGGCAAACCTATGAAGTTTTCATATTTTTGAATAAAAAACTTATAAAAAAAACTATTCGATAGTGTAAAAATAGTCTCAGTAGTAAAATGTATCCTATTTAATTATTTCTATCAGGATGGACGAAGATAGAAAGTACATTAAAAATATTCGCTTGAAATACTGTCAAAATAAAGCCTTAACCTAATATCGTAATAAATAAATATTCTATCTAATCTAGAAATAGTGAGTCAACACAAAAAACCCAATGCTATGAATTTATTTGTGATGGTCTATCTAAATATTTACAAATCCTTCGTATCATAGACAACAGAATATAGTTTCCGCGGTACTCAGTTACATACAGTACAGACACGGAAAATCGCGGTGTTACATTTTCAGGATTGCCTTAGTCCTTGTAACAAGACAAACTCCGCACATACAAATAACCAATTAGATAACAGTGAGTTGCACAAACAACGGGATAATAATAAAAAGCAATTAGCTTCTATTGGTTTTGTTCCGCATTGTCTTAATTCATACAAAACATTCTGATTGTAGATGTTAACAAACACCAATCAATTCCCTAATAGTACACAAGACGTACCACAGATGTATACAGCAAATCTTTACTAGACCATAGACAATGCACGCTGCGCAAACCATAAGTAACGTTATTTATCAATCTAGACCAAACCGTGTCAAAAAGCTTATTTCAGGCACTCACTAGTGATTTTTTTAATAATTACAACACATTGCTCTTCGCATTCTTCAAATATAAATTTTTCAATGTTAGAATTTTTTTTTTACATTTGCTGTAACAAAGTGAACTATAATGTAAAGCAGTCGAAAAAGATAGCTTGTAAAGTCTATGGTTTAATTTTGTATATTTAGATTACCTTGCAGTAACAGTTATTTTTAATTTAAATTTTAACTAAGTCAAAATATTCTACATAAAGAAAGAATGATGAACTAATAATGTTTAATTATTAATATTTTTAAGAGAAACTATACCTCCGATAAGAATAAATATGTATGTATCCATTACTAGTTAATGTCAACCAATAATCTTGATACTCTTAGAATTGACATCGTCAAATACATTTGAAAGATGGTACAAAACAGAAAAATCACACCAAACAATTTTAAGAACTATAAGGTAAAAGTGAGTTATTATTTGTACATAGCACATCGGTTCGTGAGTTCCCAAACACTCGAGTTTTATCACACACAGAGCACAAGAGGTCTGAATTGACACTGTAACGCGGGGCGGGGCGAGGGCGGGGGCATG